AATAATAAGCTATAAACTATTTGTCTGTCTTGCAAGTTATCTGTGTGCTAATGCTCATGTGTCAGTGAAGTCTAAAGAGGAAGAATTAAAGTTTGACTAGATCAGATTTTGTATTGCTGTATTTTTTGATTTTGTGCTTTTTCGGTAGAATTTGATTCTGAATAGTCGCCCCATACACAACAGAGCTTTTCTTGGGGAGTGTTCCTTTTAATGCAATGAATTCTGGAAACAGAGATTTCTAGAAACTGTAGTGAATGATTTGTTAGCAGTAAATTGCGTGAAAAGGTGCAAAAACAACCCCCTACCCCGACACTCTACTGTAAAGATAACTTCTGCTAAACTGTGTTTTAAGGGAGTGAGCTTTTAGCTTTGTGTTTTACCTACACTCTTAACGTAATAAGGAATCTCCTTAGAGTTTTTTTTAAAAGCTTACGTTCATGCTGCATCTCATGGACGAGGAGGGTAGATACTCTGTTTTTCTGCAAATACTATTTTTCAGGCTGCTTCACAGTGTGCATTTCAGTCTTGCTCACTTCATTGTGTGTGCCTCCTTCCCAAACACATTTGGTATGGTTTACTGAAGTCTCTGCTTATATTTTCAGGACATAGGCTGTATGGTTTTCAAATTGACAAGAGGAGAATGACAGCTGAAAAATAAGGCGCATACCAAACAAACTCTTCCCTCTTCCATTTTCCCCGTGGCTGGTCTCTTTTTCTTCAGAGACTAATGTAGGAAGGCATTTTAGGGAAACTAGAATTAACGTTTTTTCCCCTTGATGTCCTTTGATTTGATGTTCTCCATGATGTTGCTGCTGGACAGTCACTCGTTTTCCCATATTTGATTTTCGTTATCTGTCTGCAGTTGCTGCTCTTGTATCATTATTCTAACATTTGCTTGCTGTGGCTTCTAGAAATTCATGTAATGGATTCAGAGCTTGTGGGGTCTGTACAGCATACAATGTGCTCAGTGTTTAACTTTTAATTGAGATATAACACTCCAAAAACCTCTCCCATCCTGTAGCTTTGCTTCCTTCACCATTCTTTTCCTGTATACTAGGGTTTAGCATTTTGAAACTAAACTACACAATCTTTTTTTCCTCTTACTAAAAGCAACGTAGCATGCAATAATTGGGACCTTTATTTTCTTCTGAATATTTTAAGTGCTACTTGTTACCTTTGCCTGCTTGGAAGTAGCTTATCATTTCTGTGACATTGTGGAGGTAGAGAGAAGGATCAGGGTTTTGCTTCCTGACACCTGTAAGTGGAATAACCAGTGACTTGTATTTGTTCTGTTCATATGGCCCTGCATGAAGGGTATGTGTGAGTGTGTGTGTACATACAGGCATATACATACACCTGCGCACGTGCACATGCTTAGGTGCAAGTAAACTGTCATATGCATGAAGGTGTTTTTCTCTTTCTCTCTCTTTAAAGGTTTTGACTTTTAAAGAAATCAACTGGCAGATGATCAGAATAGAAGCAGATGCAATCCAGAGTTCTAAGCATGAAATCATGAGTGCTCCAGTTCGACTGATTACTAACCAATCAAAAATTAGGGTCACGCTCAAACGAAGGGTAAACTTGAAAAGTTTGAAATCTTTTATTATTTTATGAATTCATTTTTAACTCATGCTCTTAATGCATACATGCACATAGTAAAGGTTTTTAATTTAGGCCATATAAAATGTAGAATTTCCTGAACTAAATTTTTAATAACGTATAGTTAGTAAGACCGTAGAGTTTACAAGAAATATTACAGGCAGAATTTGAAAATGAAGACCTTGCACAGGGCTCACTAATGAAATTGTTTGATCTGCAGAGCTTTGTTTATGATGATGCATGTTGTCTTACCTCTAGATTCAGGCAATATTTGCATTACTTACATTTAGAGAAATGCACCAGTTTATTTGTTTGGCATGAACTGAATATTAAAAAGTGAGGCATAAATATAGTATAACCTAGGTATTTTTTGGTTAATGAGAGGAATATAATTTAAAATAAAAAAAGTTTCTTATTTACGTGGAAGAAATTTGGGTTTTGGAAAGGTGAAAAGTGGTTTTGTGTTCAACTTTTTTTTTTTTTTCTTGTATTTGGTCTAAGAAATGTAAGTATTTAATGGACCCATTTGACTTGTTTACATTTTTATTCTACAGTTAAAGGATTGTAATGTAGTGGCATCAAAACTGGTTCTGATTCTGGATGATTTGCTATGGGTTTTAACCGATTCCCAGTTGAAAGCCATGGTGCAGTATGCCAAATCTCTTAGTGAAGCCATAGAGAAATCGACAGAACAGAGGAAAAGCTTGGCTTCTGAAACAGCACAGGTATGGTAGTTGATTGTCTCACTACATCGTTATCAGGTGTTCCAAAATACAGCACAGTGTGGTTGATTTTGTTAATTTATTTTAGAGAATGTTCAGTTACTCATTTTCATTCATCTATATATCTTAAATTACATTAGGAATGAATCACAGTAGTATAAAATAGACTTTATTTTGCAAGATTTTGTATATTGATGTTAACTGCAGGGAAGAAAAAAGTTCTATTTCTTTATCCTTGTACAGAGATTTAGACTTGTGTATTTACTTAACAGATGATTAACTGTTTGGTAAATTTGCTCTCCAAATATCTTCTGGATATGAATTAGAAAAAAAAATAATTAAGACACACTAAGGTAACCTTAATGTGTGGACAGATACTATAATGATTTAAAGTGTTTGTCCAGTTTGTTTTCATGGTACTGAAAAATTAGCATGCAATTACCATTAGTAATGGTTTTGTGCAGCTCTCTTGTTGGATTGCATAGTGAAAAATAATTCTACCTTCAATATTTCTGCTGGCATAGATGTGATATTGATGCTGCATGTATGATAGTCTTATGTAAATCTTGGTGGTCTTTTAGCACATATGGCAGACTAGACAACTGGGCTTTGTGAGTGTTGTGGGGAGGGACCTTTTCTTGTCTGTAAAGAAGCAGCACAAATATGCTGATAAAAGATTGAGTAAAGTTACTTTACTAAATTTACTGAATTAACTAATAACTGAAGTTACTGATTAAGTAAAGCCATTTGTACAGAATCTCTTCCACTAGACCTAGTGTACTGTAATCGAGAGTTCAGTTCTTGTGGTGATCCTGGTGACTTACGATGGGATTTGACTGTTTAGCTACAGCAACCAACTGAGCAGGGAGGTCCTGGTAATTCAGTTCCCTCTACTTGCATCTCATCAATCCCCTGGTACAGGCACCAACCAGCTCACTTTTGACCCTGTTGTCCTGTAGTTTGGGGAACTAAACTAGCAGAAATGAGCAACAAAATGGATAATTTTCTGTTGATTTAGTTCCCTGAACAGCTTGCAACAAAGTTAGAAAAACACCAAAGCTGCAGGTGACAGGGGTGTAAAGAAGTGTGGGGGAAGGGGAGAATGGGGGATGCACTGGCATTGCCTCTTTGTGACACCTAGCCATTAGCTCGACTTACCTTTGAAGGTGAATGCATGTGGTTCAGATTTTTTCCTTATTTCAGAGGCCTGTTTTGAGTAAGTAGAATACTTATGCTTGGAAGGAAAGATAAACTTTATAAATTGATATGGTTAAATATTTTTTCAGAGCTCTGCCCCTGCACCCAGCTCTCAGCAGGTGAAAGCACACCAGACAACAGCAGCACCTGATCAAAACGATGCGATAGTAAAATTGTTCAATGATTTTGATGTTAAGGAAACTTCTCATCACTTAGTAATTTCCCATTTGGACTTACATATATGTGATGATATCCATTCTAAAGAAAAAGGTAACTTTTTTTTTTTTCAAATAACATGCCTGTGAACCATAATCATCTTTAGAAGACATTTTGAGGAAGACGATGTTAATCAAGAGTCTGTCTATTTTAGAGGAATATTCAGAATTACCTTCAGTGTCTATAGACACATTTAAAATTAGCTAGATGCCTCTATCAAGTCAACATTTCATTATTAAATGTAATTATTTTAGAATAAGTGCAATAAAAACTGCTAAGAGTGCTAGTAGTTTCAGTGCTTTTCCTGTCTTCTAAAAACTGACTGTCCAGTCTGATTGTTACTGCCGTTTTTTTTTTTTTTTTATATTATAAGTGAACTGGGTTACGCAGAGTGCAGTGGCAACATTATTGTGGCTTGAAAGCCTCGCTATACGATTGGCTTATGTAGTACTCTTACAAAATACAGACTAATAAAAGAGCGCTCCTCTTTGTGTTAGTAATTTAGAGAATTTGATGTGCTCTGCAGCACATAAAAAGAATGGAACTGTGGCCTTAGGATTTTGTGTGTAATACTTGTACTTCAGGGTTTTTTTTTAAATGAAAGGCTATTGCATATAGCCATACCGAGAATCAGAAAAAAAGATGATTAGTGTCACTTCTTTCATGCCTTTTAAAAGTGATCAGCAGAGAATGATGTATCAGTATATACCCAAGGAGCTGGCAAGTCACTGAAAAATTTAAAGGCACACAAGGTCTCCTGAAGAAAAGAGCATGAAAAACTTAAGTTTTAGCAGATGCATTTCTGTGATTAGAGAAGACACTTGCAAAGCAACAGAGCATAAGGCTCACTGGCTAGAGATGTGTTTCCTTACATGAAGTGTATCCACTGCAGTTGGGATTTATCATTCTTAGTGAGATCTCTTTATTGGTCCTTTATTTTTGGCCATGAAGTTTAAATTTAGCAGTGGAAAAATCAGAACAAAGGATTCTCAGAAGACGTCTTCATTGCAATAATGTTTGTCAAATAAAATAAAACAAATTATATTTACAATATTCTTGAAAGTAAGTGTTGACTTTGAATGAGTAATCATGATCATATAATCAATGTGAAAAGCTTTGTTTCAGAAAAACTGCAGTAATATGTGTTCAAAGAGTTGTCTTTACTTTTTAATAGCATTTAAAACAATTTGTTAGCAGTGACCAAGTACAGAACAGAGAGTTCTACAAGCTGATCTTTAGAAACCAGTGAAGACTACTTGAATGAAAATTTTGACAGAGGATAATGAAGTTGTAAGGAGAGCCAGTAAAGGGGAGGAAGAAGTCGCTGTTGGGAATGCAGCAACGTGAGAACTTGCCAAATACAATGTCTGCAGAGCTGAGCATTGTTTTATTTTACAGACTCAAATAGACGTGTTACAGGAGGGGCCATGCAGCTTTCCTTCAGCTATTTAACAGTGGACTATTATCCATTTCACAAAGCAGGTATGAAAGTGAGCATTTTGTGAATTACTTGGGAATGTAACTATCTTGCTTGAATACTAAAAAATTTGTTACTGTGTGTATTGGATAACAGCATTCTAAGCATTTGAAATACACACCTTTTTATTTCCTTACATATGCAAAACCAAACAACAAAAGCAACAACCTGGGAACCAATTTAATTTCTGTGAATGAGCTATTTTAGGCCAAAGGCTTTTCCTTTTCACTGTTCTGTTTGGTCAACACAACTGTGTTTACACATTTCTGACATGAAAAGAATTGTGTGTTGACAAAGGAAGGCAGTATGGCAGACTGAGAATTCACTAATTAGATAGTTGAAAAAGTTAATCTGCTAGGTCTTTTTTTCCATATGGAAGTCTATCATTTTATGTCCATTTCCAAGCAATGTTTTGGTTTTTATTTTATTTTGCTAAAGAAGGATCCCAGTGCATAGAGATTCAATTATATAGCCTTTTGTTAGCGAATTGTTGTTAAACAGATGTTAGCAATTTCCAAAGAAGCATTTCTTACAAATGATTTCTAGTAAATATATTTTTTCAGAAATCTAAAAAGTTTAGAGGAGACAAAATAGGTCTGCTGTTCAATTTGAGATCAAAGGCAATCCAGTACAGTCTAGGGGCTTCTAGTTGGCAGGGGAGTTGGTTGTGCTTTGTTTTGCTTTTTACTAACACGGACCAATCATTTGGGAGTGATTATCCACATACATTAGAGATGTAAATTAGCCATAGCATGCCTTATGTCCTTCTTGTCACTCATGGTTGCAGATGGAATCCTGTAATGTCAATCTATTTCATTCATAAGTAGCGAGTATAGTTTTTGTGCTTTAAAAAACGTAATTTAGCATGAGTCAAATAAACATACAGAGCCGCAGAAAAGAATATACTTAAGAAAAACAGTATTCTTTCTTTGCTATAGATTGGCCTAATATGGTTTGAAATTTGTGATACTGGTTTCCTGCCCTATAAAAGTGGGACCGTAAGTTACAGAGGTTTAACACATGCCTGTCTTGCGACCCAGCTATGTTTTTCATTTACTTTCGCTTCTGATTTCTACCATGTCCAAGTGAGGGTCTGGTCTGTCTATGGTTTCTGTGAGCTTTCCTCAGACAAAATGTAGAGAACCGGGGACATAAATAGATTGTTGCTTTTGGAAGGATTCTTAGCGAGATCGAACCATGCAGTGTGGGCTCTTGGATGGGCATGTTAGAAGCTCACTGAGCGTGCTTTTAGGTAATGGCTACATGGAACATAACTCCCACTATATGAAACCAGAGATGGAAAAGACCATCTGCAGAGCAAAGGTGGTGCCTCTAAAGCTAGTGTTCTCCTGCAGTCTTAAATGGTGTTCTGTTCTGTACGAGTATGTTTAAGTAACAGAAATCTAGGTCTCACTAATAAGCTATGATAAAAAACTGCCAAAGGTGGTGGTGTTTGGGCCAACAGGGTGTATGTGTGGAGGCAGAGGGGCAGGGGGCAGAGGCGAGGAACATGCCAGAAAGTTTCCATTTCAGGAGTTCATAATTTTCTCACTATTTTGGAAGAGTGTGGCAATTCTGTGGGCAAACTATTGTTACAGAGGGGAGAGTCCCTTTACTCAAAGTGAAAAGAGAGCCTATTAGTCTTGAAAGTTCAAAGGGAGTTCTCTAGCCAGGAAGGTATCATGCCTCTATATAGTGCTGTATCAGGCTGTATCACCTGATATGCAGAGCATTCCTACCCTAACGTCGAGGCTCTGAAATGTTGTATACTGAAGGACAACGCTGTATTAATACTCTGTAACAGCAGATGAGGAGGAAACAGCAAATACTTCTGTGACTGTTACCGGACTGTTTTCTGGTTTTGTACCTCTCTGGCCTCTGGAATATTTAAAAATAGCTCTCTTCATATAGTCTTCTTGGAAATTATGATTAATCCTTCAGGAAAAAGCCCTCAACAATTAATTATTTTGTAGATTGGGTTCTTGTGGTTTGGGTTTTTTAAATTGTTTTTGTAACAGACCCCACCCAGACAGCCTCTAAAGGGAGTCTGAGGCATAATTGCTGTAGGGTAAATTTCTAACCCATTGAAAATCAAGCCTTCCAACAATCACCTTTCATAGTACTTAAGAAAAATGAAGCAGGCTGTGTGTCCGTGGACTGTGGTAACCCTAACATAAGCCAGACTTATTGGATGTTGTAAACCTGCCTGTACAGCAATCCATCGCTTTACTAGTCCTCTCAGACTTGCTCTCACAGAAGCTTTTATCCAAATCCGTTATTTGTGCAGCTGATGTGTTGCTGGATAATGATCAGAGAAAGCTAGTGTTTTACCATTGTGGAGGTCATTTTGCCACACAGGAAAATTTTTGATCAAGCTGATATATCGAGACAATATGTGAAATTGGAAAGCATTTACTTCCTGGGCAAACAGCAATAAATTCAGATGGTAGCAGCATCAGTGCCAGCTCCGCTAAATATTGTTTTCTTTTTACAATCTGGCCTGCTCTTCACTTTCCATAGATAAATGTGGCAATGACAACTCCAAATATAGAATTGTAGGATAGTTGAGGATGGAAGGCACTTCTGGAGATTGTCTAGTCCAGCCCCTCTGATTAAAGTGGTGTCAATTAAAGTCAGCTTCCCAGGATTGTATCCAGTTAGGTTTTGAATAGCTTCAAGGGTGGAGACTTTATAGCCTCCCTTGTACAACCTAGTGCAATGTTTAGCCACCCTTACGGTAGAAAAGCTTGTTTGTTTGTCTGTTTGGTTTTGTGCTTATTGGCTCATGTCCTGTCACTGGGCACCACTGAGTGGAGTCTGGCTCCCTCATCTTTAGTCCCCCCCATCAGTCATTTATACAGATTGATAAGATCTCTCTGAGCCTTCTCTTCTTGAGGCTAAATGATTCCAGCTATCTCAGCGTTTCCTTAAAAGGGGTTGCAGTCCCTTAAGTATCTTTGTGACCATTTGCTGGACTCACTCCAAAAAGTCCATGGGGAGCCCAGAACTGGACCCAGCACTGCAGATGTAGTCTCACCAGGGTTGAACAAAGGGAACGGATCATGTCCCTTGACCTGCTGGCAGTGCTTTTCCTAAGAAATCCAAAGTGCTATTGGCCTTCTTTGCATCAGAGACATGTTGCTGATTCATATTGAACTTACTGTGTCAGGTTTAGTTTTTTTTTCTGTAAAGCTGCTTCCCAGCTGGTCAGCCTCTAGCCTGTACTCTGGATGCTGGACTTGGATTTCCCTTTGAAGTTCATGACATTACTGGTGGGTCACTTTTCTAGCCTTTTGAGGTCTCTCTGGATGATAGCAAAACCACCTGGTGTATCACCATTCCTCCTAGTTTTGTACCATTTGCAAAGCTGTTGAGGATGCGCTGTCCCATCATCAAGGTTATTGATGAAGATATATTGGCCTCAGTATTGGCCATGGGAGTATACCACAGATGATTGCCTCCAGCTGGACTTCATACTGCTAATCCCAACCCTTGGAAGACTAACAGTTTAGCCAGTTTCCAGTCCACCTCACTGGGTACTTACCTAGTCAGTACTTCATCATTTTATCACTGAGCATGTTACAGACAGCGTTGAAGGCCTTGCTATAGTTGAGGTGAACAGCCACTGCTCTCCCCTCATTCCTCAAGCCTGTCATCTCATAGTAGAAGGCTCTAAGTTCATCAAGCATGATTTCTCTATCATAAATCTGTGCATGTGTACTGCCATTAACTTTCCTGTCCTTAATGTATTTTGAAATGGTTTCCAGGATTATTGGCTCTGTTGCCCTCTGTTACCTTCCTCCATTACCTTCCTTGAGGTGAGGCTGACCAGCCTGTTACTCTTTTCATCTTCCTTCTTGAGGACAGGAATGACATTCACTTTCTTCTAGTTCTCAGGAACCTTTCCTGATCACTATTCAATGATAACCTTTCAAAGATAATTCAGTAGCCTCCCCATGACATTAGCCAGCTCTCTCAGCACTTGTTTTGTCATCAGGATCCCACGGACTGGTATGCGTCTGATCTGTTTAAATGTCTCCTAAGTTAATGCTCCTCTCCTGAGGGGAAGGTTTCTTTACTCCAGACCTTTCCCAAAGGTCTCAAGGACATGGGAATTCTGAAGGCAAGTGTTACAGTGAAGACTGAGGCAAAGGCGGCATTGAGTACCTCAGCCTTCTCCATGTCATTTGTAACCAGGTCCCCTGTCCCATTCAGCAGCAAGCTCAAGCTTTCCGTGCTCTTCCTTTTGCAGGTGATACACCTGTAGAAGCCTTTCTTGTTGTCCTTAATGCTCCTCATTAGATTCAACTCCAGATAGGCTTTGGCATTCCTAACACCATCCTCCATGTTCTTGTGAGTACTTGATGCTGTTTCCACATCTTGAACACTTTGTTTTTATCTTTGAATTTAGTCAGGAGCTCTTGGTTCATCCACACAGGCCTCCTTCCACATTTGGTAGATTTTTCTGCTTTTCAGGGAGGACTATTCTTTGGCGTGGAGGTGGTTCTTGAATGTCAACCAGCTCTCTTGAACCCCTCTTCTGGCCAGGGTTGTATCCCACAAGGTTGTTTCAACCAGGGCAAAGGATACTCTTCTGAATTCCTGAATTGTCATTCAGCTTTTTGCCTTGTTCCTTCACCTCGGAATCCTGACTTCCACCATGTCATGGTCATGGCAACCAAGGCTGCCTCTCGCCTTCACATCCTTGATCAGTTCTTCCTTCTTTGTAAGAACTGGGTCCAGTGGAGCATGTGCTATCTTTGGCTCCTTGATTACCTGTGTTAAGAGGCAGTCACTGATGCACTTTCAGAAACCGCATGGATTCTTATGCCTTGCTGTGTTGTCCCTCCAGTAGATACTGGGATGGCTAAAGTTCCTAATGAGGACTGGGGTCTGTGAACATGATGCTTCTTCCAGTTGTCTGAAGAGGGCCTCATCATCTTCCTAATCAGATGGTCTGTAGCAAATATCCACCACAATGTCATCCATGTTGGTCTGCCTTCTAATCTCGACCTGTAAGCACTCAGTTGGCTGATAATCCGTCCCAAGGCAAAGCTCCGTGTGTTCCCACTGATGTCACTGAAGGGGCAATGGGCCCTCCTTGCCTTCTTGGCCCGTGCTTCCCAAAGAGCCTGTGTCCATCCTTTGCAGCATTTCAGTTGTGTGTGCTATCTCACTATGCCTCTGCAATCCCAGCGAGATCATAGCCTCTATATAGCCTCAAAGAATACATTTCTAGGAAGGGACCAGGAACTTCTTAGGACACAGTTCTGGCAGGCGAGATAAGCTTGGAAAAAGTGACCATGAGAACATTCTTCTGTTACTTGCTCTCATTTATTGTTTTTTTTTTTTAGTGAAACATTTTTTTTGCATGTTCTAACATGTGACATTGGTGTGTCAGCAAATTTCTCTGAACTGGAAATAGTCAATGATGTTTTGGACATTAGTGGGTGTTAAAAGGCAGGTGGCAATATTGTATTGTTTTCTGAGTGATTTTGTGAAGCAGTAAGACTTGTTTTTATGTAATATACAGTTTCTGTTTTAACATCTGGTATAACTTCTTTTGTTCTATAATTACAGCATGCAATGGGATTGTATTTTGGAGAATTGTGAAATAGTGAAAACTTGTTATCCAGTTAGAAGCAAACTTTCAAATGAGTCAATATTTCCCCATTCCTCTTATTTGCAGGAGACAGCTGCAATCACTGGATGCATTATAGTGATGCCACTAAAACCAGAAGTGGATGGGCCAAAGAATTATTAAATGAATTCAAAAGCAATGTTGAATTGCTTAAGCAGGCTGTGAAAGACCAGGTCTTAGATTCTCCTCCTGAATCACCACCTGCTGTATCTCCTCAGAACCTACAAACAGGTACTTTGTTTGCATCACTAATGCTCTAATTCCATGAAATGTTAAAACTGTTCTAAAAAAGACTGTTCTTTTCAATGATTCCATCACTATTCTTTCCTACAGGCAAGGAACAGATACCGAAAGGAACATCTAGGGCTTCCTCTGTATCTTCCCAACAACCAAAGGGCAAACTGATGTCTAGTCCTATTGTGGTTAGACTTGCAGATTTCAATATATATCAGGTACATTTCTTCAAGTTAGTAAAACTGAGGCTACTTCGCCCTTGACTGTTATGTAACTATGGTTTTTAAGCGACAGTTCTGAAGCCCATTGAAATTTAATAGAAGTCTTTCCATTCATTATTGGATTAGACCTTTATGGGCCTGCTTCTGCTTTGTTAAAATTGGTGGATATTTTGTTATCGACTTCATTTTATATCATACCCTATCACAATTATGTTTTGGATCCAAGTTCTGCTGTTCCACAAATCCTGAGATTTGGGATTTCATCTTTTCATTGTACCATGTTAGGTACCAAATATTGTAATAAGTGGCTTTGTTTTTCATGTTTTCCTTATTGTTTCTCAAAGTGTATGGATTTTTTTTTTTAAATGTTAAATTAAGAGTTTTTAAAATTTTTCTTCAGCTACTCCCTCTCCCAGTCATATTTTGAGTAGACACTTTAACCAGTTCTTCTCTGCCCACCACACCCACACCCCCCCCCGCAGCCCCCTGCCCCATTTGTTTGAGTGAGTAGTTTTTTAGTTGCTGGTTGTGATCCAGATTCACCCTTTGGTGCAGATAGGAGGCAACTGGAATAGAGAAGGAGTACATCTCTGGGGCAGAATGGTAGTGATAAAGGAGGATCCACTCTAAATTTCAGGTCCTAACAAAAATGCTTCATGTGTGCCCTTAATCATTGTGACTTCTACTTGCACGTGTTCCAATTTTCAATGCTCTTTTGCCATATCACTTCTGGTAGAGTGGGTTGCAGCTTGCTGCCAGGAGTCTTCATCTGGGTTTGAAGTGTTTATAATATAATTTTGTACTGCCGGTGTTTTCATTTGCCTTCTACTCTTCAGGTACTTGTCTCCTCCTCCTCCTCCCTACACAAATATATTTTCAATTTTTTTAGTTGTCATTATTTCTATACAATTTACAAAAAGCTATTTTTCTAAATAGATCTGTTATTGAATTTTTGTTTATATTAATAGAGAGATGTTTGCAGCTTGAAAACAGCTACATAGAGTGAAGCAGGCTTATAAAGGTTATATATTCATTATTTCCAGTGAAACTAATACAAGTAGACATTGTCATATATTCAATATTAATACATTGGCTAATTTCAAACTAGCAGTCTGACCTCCTAAGTGTTGGATGAAAGAGCTTTCTTTTGACAGCATACTTTTGAAGCTAGGGTACATTCCAAGAAATTTAAGGTCAAATATATATCAAAAGGTGATCTCTTTCTTGTTTCATAATTTACACTGGCTGGAAACAAAAATGTTCTATAGTGTCTTGATTCTCCTGTGAAGTAGACTTTTTGGGCATAGCCAAGCATATATATCTCTGCAGGTGCATGCTGAACACCTTGCTTAGCAGTACACAGTCGAGTGTTGGCCCATGTACTGGAATCTGTCCTTATGACAATACAAGGACTTCCTAACACTTGTGTAATAAACGTATCTAACTTACCTTATCGTCTAGATATGGGATCCTGTTGGACAGACGGTATGCAAATATACCACGTCCTAGCATAATTGCTTATAGAGGAGCTGTAGTGTTTGCAATAAAGACAGCCGATCATTCTAGGCTTCTGCTGAACGCCTTTGAAAATGACCTGCTGCCTCCTGCATCACTTGAAGGAGGGGGTTCTGGTACCGTTAATACTATATAGTTTTCTTGTGAAACTGTTCTATGCAGATTGCTTCTACTACAAGGCAACTAGATGTTTCTGTTGTCAGCACTTTGAGTAGTTTGGGATCTACATCTGAGAGCAGTGGAATGTTACTCTACTAGGGGCAGTGCCTTGCAACTGCAAATGCTTAATGACTCGTAAAAACGTAATCTATTAATGAAATTAATCTTTTATCTTTTACAGGTTTCAACAGCGGATCAGTGTCGTTCTTCCCCTAAAGCTCTGATCTCTTGCAATAAAAAGTCACTTTATCTTCCACCAGAAATGCCTGCTATTCATTTTGAATTCACTGAATATTACTACCCAGATGGAAAGGACTTCCCTAGTAAGAGCTTTTTTTTTGTACTGAACCATAAATTTTGTTACTTTCACCTTTATGAAGCCTAATACTGGTTCCAGGTTGACAACTGGAAATAGGTAATGGCTTTCTGAAATGGAAAGAACACAACACTGCTCCGTTTTCACAGTGCTTACTCCTGGCAAACTCCTATAAATACTGGTTTTTATAAAAATGTTTTTTAAGTCTGAAAATATTCACAGCATTTTTGCTGACACATGTATTGTTCATTCTCCTACACACATGTATTGTTTCTGCAGTTCCACCATCTGGCTGCGTAAAAGAACTCAATGGCTACGTCAAAGAACTCAAACTATTGCAGTAGTATCTCAAATGCAATGAAGATCTACTGGAGTTATTTTTATTAGTGTGTTATGGGGCTGGCCCTGTTTTATATACAGAAATATCAGTGGATTTCTTGGGAATGGGACTTGAGGACAGCAAATCTCCTTAGTCCTGCCCTTCCTCTGTAATGAGGACATTCTCTCCCTCTCCTCAGACTTCATTCTAATGTTAGCTTTTACATTCAAAAATTCAGTTACTTGCTTGGAGTGAGAGAAAGAAGCATCACTTTAGGTATTTCTAGCAATTTATTCTTCCTTGGAGAAAGGAGTGGGCTTCCATTCTTTCTCCAATGTGAAATACTGGTCAAAATGTAAGTCTGCACTCGTTTTTTTTTTTAAAAAAAAAAAAAAAAACAAACAAAACCCAAAAAAACCCAAAACCAAAACCCAAACAAAAACACAACAAAACAACAATTACCAAAACCCAACCCCTGAACATTTTACATATTCTCATGATTTGATTTTGTTTTGTTTTCTCTTTTAGTTCCATCTCCCAATTTGTATGGCCAGCTGAATGCTTTGCAGTTCACCCTGGATGAGAGAAGTATTCTTTGGCTAAATCAGTTTGTGTTGGATTTGAAACAGAGTCTTATTCAGTTCATGGCCATGTACAAGTTAAATGACAATTCAAAATCAGATGAACATGTTGATGTTAGAGTTGATGGACTAATGTTAAAGGTATGCTGTCATTGAGGAGGGGTTTTGTGCTTCCTTGGAAGAAAATACTTTTTCTCTTATTCTGAAAAGCTGTTAGCAAAGCAGCTTAATGAATAAATGGACAAATAAATGAAGAAACAACCCATGCTGCTCTGGAAAAGTGTGTAGAATATGATGGTTTGAAGACAGACATCTGTCTTCCATGTTACTTCATCTATGTCCCTAGGGGTATTTTGGGTTTGTATTGGAGACCTGAATGGGAGTATTAACAAATTATTTCATTGTGTTCAATGAAGCTGATGTAGCAGAATTAAAAAGCACTGAAGTAAAAACAACTAGCAAAAAATTCATATTTGCACTCTATGTTAATGCAAGGGCCCTCCCTTGTTCCTCTGATTGTAGTATGTCAAAACTCTTTCATCTCGTTAGTGAATGCCTGGAGTAAAGAAGGCAGTTCATCCAAAGGTGTATTTCCTTCTCCAAAACCGATTCTCACCGTTTTCTGTTTCATGCTGGCCCCTGGCTGTAGTTCAGGTACACAAGTTCTCTATATGTTTATTCCAGAGGAGTGGCACTTGTTAATTCAGCTGAACATCAGATTTTTCCTTCCCTTGTCTTCTCCTCCTTTGGAGGAGAAGGATTATAGAGCAGCCAATGGGTTTCCAAGGTTCAGAGGTGAACAAAACAATGAGTCTTTTCAATGGTGCCCACAGGAAAGGTTTCAAGGGTTCTAAAATGTCAGTGTACGGAGAGATGGTTATCTTCGTAAGGCTCTTGGTGCATATTTAATGAAACTTTAAAAGGACATAGTTTATACTGAATGAAGACAGTTACTGAGAGCTAATAACCAGACAACTACAAATACAGACTGATCTAATATTGAATTACTATGTGTGAATAGCCCACTAAGCTAAGAGAAGATAAAATTAAAAGTATTCTTAAGTATTCAAACCTTGATTTATATTAGTTATTTCATTCCTGTATTACCTGCATTATTTTTATTCTAGCAAATTATGAGTCATTTATTATTGGTGTGCTTGATGTTTACATGTCATATAGTAGATTATTATATAGTTATCTATTCAGTTATTTTGTTCTGAGACCTTTTATTTACATGAAGAATCTACATCACTCCCATCTTTCACGTGTCTTTAGGATTACTTTTTTACTCTGATCTTTCTAGATTCAGTATGGAGATGTTGTGACAGAAGGTAGTGTCACTGATATTAGCAAAACTAGTGTGGCCAAGGTCCGTGTTAACACCACCAGATACAGCATTTGACATAAAATATGTTTTGCTTTTAAAACTTGCACTAAAGATATGCAAGCTAAATTAAATCCAGTTCTACTGAACTATTCTGATGTGGTTTTAGGACTTGGAGTATATTTTTATTTTTATGATGAAAAAAATGTATTTTGATATCGAATAATGGTCACAAAATACCTGTTCTATATCCTGCAATATTAAGAATATTAGCTGTGTTACCACAGAAATAAAATACTGTAATGGCATAGTAAAAAAACCCTATTTGACAAAACAGAGAATTATAATTTGGAGTTCAAAGTTGTAAATACTTGGAACACTTGAAGAAACTTTCTGCCAAGCTTTCTGAGTTGAAGAAATGAGGCAATTCAGCCTAATATAGCTGACCTAAATCCTTCAGATAAGAAAAGTCCAAGACCCTCACAGCTTTGTACAAACATTGAGTTTTAGGTGCCACAGCATCATTCTTAAAAATGAGAGGAAACACAAATTATAATCTATGAGCCTGACTTCTTCCTATTCTGTGTTGGTATACTTAAGTTCTCATAAAATTATAATTATATTCCTTTATTTAGCTGCCACGGTTATTACTTTGTTTCTTTAATTGTATGCATTCTTGACCTACGTTCTTCTAACTAGACAAAATATATTTCTCTCCTGCAGTTCATCATCCCAGCTGAAAACAAACCTGAAATTCATAAAGATCAACCTCGTGCACTTTCCATTCAAAGTTCAGAGATGATTGCTACAAATACAAGATACTCGCCAAACTGCAGACACTCTGATCTGGAAGCTTTGTTTCAGAACTTCAAAGACTGTGAATTTTTCAGTAGAACTTTTACCACTTTTCCTAAGTCCCAGAAGAATTTTAATCTTTTGCATCCAATTTTCCAGAGACATGCTCATGAACAAGATACTAAAATGCATGATGTTTATAAAGGTTATATCATCCCAAAATTGAATAAATATGCATTAAAGACATCTGCAGCCACTGATGTTTGGGCCTTGCATTTTTCCCAATTTTGGATAGACTATGAAGGAACGAAAAGTGGGAAAGGCCGACCCATAAGCTTTGTGGACTCGTTCCCACTTTCACTTTGGATTTGCCAGCCAGTAAGATTTGCAAAGACACAAAAAGAGGTTTTATCGCATAATGAGACAGCTTTGAACTTTCCAAAAAGTGAATCTAGTGATCTTGCTAACAGACTGCAACGTAAAAAACTTCTAAAGGAATATTACAGCAGTGAAACAGAGCCCTTGACCAATGGCATTCAAGTGTCAGACACTTCAGGAGTGCTTTCTGAAAGCTGTTCCTCTGATGCAGATGTACATGTTCTTGTCCATGTTCAAAAACATGTAAGCGTGCAGATCAATCATTACCAGTATCTTTTTTTGCTGTTTCTCCATGAATCTCTTGTATTGCTCCTGGAAAACGTAAGGAATGATGTAGAAGCAGTGACAGGAAAACCGGCAAAGCAAACAGATGTCTGCATTGGGATCCTACTGAAAAGTGCAGAACTAGCCTTACTACTCCATCCAGTGACTCAGGGAAACTCTTGTAAGTCTCCAGTTGCGGAAGAAGGAAGTCCCATGGCATCAGAGCTCTCTCCTTTGGGAAACGGGGAAGCTGTTACTTCAGAGAGTAAATTAGTTGGCGATAAGATAGTGCAAGCTGGTATTACTAATTTTGCTTATGTAAATGACTGCAAGCCTCTGAATGCTGAAGTTAATAAAGGAATTTTAATAGATCCTCTTTTGTTTAAATCAGACAGTAATACGGATTTTCAGAAAGGAATGTCATTTTCAGATGATGCATCAGATAAAGGTTTGGGAGATACGAGTGAAGGAGGAAGCAGTGGACTTTTTAGTAGAAGTGATTCAGAGGAGGTCTGTGGACCTCTTAGTGAGAGAAGTGGCTTGCATCCTAGGGATTCAGCATCCATTTTAAATAAGAGAGAAGATTCCACTGAATTTTTCATTGATAAAGAGGATGACAAAAACATGTTCTCAAATAAGTTAAATGAACAGGAAGGCACGACTGAAGGCTGTCCTGACCAAGTCACTGACTTGGAAACAGAAACTGCCTTAGAATCTGAAGAGTTTGAAATCACCAAAGACAAAGTGACTTCAGTTAGAATGTTTGCATCCCAGTCTTCATCAAGGTATAGAAGATTTAATACTGAATCAGTTTTCCTACTAATTGCAAATATTTATCAGTCTTGTTGGCCACATACTTTTACTAATGGTCAATGGAAGTGAACATCTACTAGATACAGATATAAGATATGCAGTATCCAGCATTCCGTGAAATCTAAAATGTACTGTTTGTTAATTGATTTAAACTATTTACTTTCAGTTTAAATGTTATGAAATATGTATTGGGAAAAATATAGACAAAAATATCTACAGGAATTATGTTTCTATGCCTGTCTCTTTCTTGACAAAGAATTATTGAATAATCAGATTTTTTTTTTTTTCCTTTGTATCTTGCCTGGTTTAGACGATTTTTTTAAAGTAACTTCTATGCAGTTCCTTTAATTTGAAATAGTAATTTCCTAATATCTTTATATTTAAAAAGTGCAAAGCCTAAGGAGCGCTGCCCGTCCAACCTCCCTGCATTCTCTGTTTCTTACAAGAATATGAAGAGAAGTCCATCACAAGTCTCTCTGGATACCATCTCTATTGATAGTATGATGCTAGAGGATCATTTGATAGAAAGTGATGGAAGTGACAGCCAAAGCTTTCTGGAGAAAGGTAAGCAGATTTAACAAAATATTTTTAAGCAATACATGAAAATATTGATAGTAAAATAATACTCAAAGAGGATTTTAGTGCAGCAAATTCTGAATACTCTACAGCACTATTTCTGTTCGCTTCTGTAGTCAGTAATATCAAATATATTCACAGCGCGTCAATTCAAGGGAGAGCAATGATGTGTGCTACTTAAGCAGTGCTACTCAATGAAACACTACTTAATTTCCTCTCTTGAGGAGAGTAAAAGCTTTGCAGAGCTATGTTGCAACTCTGAATTAAGCAGAACTGTTCCCTGCTTTGCTTAAAAGCTGTTGCTTTGGCTGTAAGTGTTTACAGGTTTGTACCCTGAATCGGTGTTATGCTTGAAGTGGTAACGAAGCTTTAATTTTAAAAGTAGATGAAAAACAAATGGGTTTTCACTAATAGTCACCCTGCTAATTACCAGACAGATAGACTTGATAGTCTCCTTGCAGCTTGTTGCTTACAGAACAGTTCCTAACTGTTGACTGTCTAACAGCAGGTATTTGTCCAATTTTTGCTTATCTATGCACGAGCATTTCCTCCTGATCTGAGGGAGGAATTCAGGCATATGATAATTATGTCTATATAGTCTGTAGTACTGTGGGCTTATGCAGCTGTAATGATCTAGTAGCTCTCTGGCAGAACTGATTAAATAATTTTCAAATGTCAGGAAATACGATAAGAAGACTTTATTGGTTCCTCTTTTCTGATAAATTGTACTTTGAATGAAGAATGACAATATTTTTTTACCATAGGATTTCTTTTCAGTCTAGAGCAATAATGAGAAGAATGCTTCACTTACAAACCTGTTATATATTTGGATTGCAGGAGTATTCGTGCATGTGCCTGTGTGGGAGTATGCCATAAAATACATTTTCCATTTTAAATAACCTTTATATGTCTTTTTAGCTTGTTAAACAATATTTAACTGCAGGTTAAGTCTGCATGCTTTCTAGTTGTCAAGGAAACACTACCACGATCACTCTAATGAAAATATGTATAGCTTATTTCTCTAAACATAAAACAACAAACATTTGCTCTAAAGGCACATTTAGATACATGCCTTGGAATCTTTAACCTTTTTCTCAGTTTTATATTTGATTTAGAAGACTAAAAAAGGCCCTTGACAACTTTTTAAACAATGCATGTAGAGTGCCGTGTTGATTTTGTCACTATAAGCAGCCTTACTTGCATAGCATCTAGAACTTCAAACTTTCTGTAAGAGGAACGAATTTGACAGTTCAATCATAAATATTTGTTTAATAAGCCATTCAGCTTATCTTAAAAATTGGGTTAATGTATGCATACAGTAACAGACACTGACTTTATTCTTAATGCAGGAGTGATTCAGGTTATGCTATGCTAACTTTGTGTTTTTCCTGATGTACATTTGGAAGGTATTACAGCCACAAACTATCAAAGCCCATCAGAAAATGCCCATGAAGGAGGCACCGTAACTGAAAATTGTGATGAGTCATCTCCAGATGCCATGAGCGCTGCATCAGAAAATACCCATGAGACTAGTGAAGAAATGGTAATATTATTGAATTCCATTAGAATACATGCTTCAGTACATTGAACATTAAAACAGAGCTAAAATGAATGCTCTTAGAGGTGATTTTTCAAGTCGTTTGGGGAGCTTTTGTTAGTGCATTATGCGAGCCTATAGATCTAGTGCACTTGTGTTATGTACAAATGAAGATTATAATCCAAGTTACACTGAGCATCCTCTGTCATTTTATCTCCTCTGTAGCCACTGCTGGTAAATGACAGTAGCCACTTTAAAATGTCAGAAAATATTTCTGCTTTAGTACATAGCAATATTGTATAATATCATCATGTTCTTTTATGCTGTGTTGAATATGATATTTAAAATGAGCATTTTAACATCATCAAGTATAGATAACAGAAAGCCCCGTAACTCTGACATCTGCTGTATGGAGATGTTTCCTTAGCACTGGTAGCATTCTGTAGTATTTGCCTATAGGAGCATAATGACTACTGGGTCAGATCGGAGATGCCTCTTATCCTGGATTATGTCAGGATAATGCCCAGTATTTAGAGAAGATTATAAGAATGGTGCATCTAGAGCGAGATTCCCTCTCTGAGACACTATGCAGGGTCCATCTTTTTCCATCTGCCTGTCTACTTATTCCTTGCTGATCCTTGCCCTAATCAATGCTGCTTAAATTATATTCTTGTATCAGTTAAGGTCATGAACTGGAAACCTGGGTATATGGGCCCAAAGACAGTGAATTTATGGAAATCTGTTGTGTGCTTGCTGATGTATTTTGCTTTGTAGTAATGTTAGTTGTGTAATCCTACCTTTGCCTTAAAATTCCTGTGGATCGCCTTAATTTAAAAAAAAAAAGCTCACTTAAATGATTGGTTCCTTTTAAGTAAACTTTCAGTAGTCTGTGCATATAAGTAACATGGAAAAAACAGAATTCATTCAAGCATATTAGCGTATTTTTTTCTGCTTGTGGAATATAACTAAAAAGTTGTTAGAAAAATTAGTAGTAGTAATAGTAGTATGTAGTAGTATGCAGTACTGCTACAAGTAGTAGTAATGATGATGGACATACATCTTCTGATACCAAAACTGACTTCTGAATCTGACTGCTAATTTTTTTTTGTTTTTTAAAGATACTGCAATCCAATAGAGGAAAAAGAGCTGACTACTATGCAGATAGCCAAAGTTTAGTTCTTTAACCTGGTCTGATTCAGCGCTTGGTTGTGCTTATCATATGAAGTTGAACGTAGCCTTAGAAAATTTCAGGTGTCACGTAGGTCTCGTGCTGCTTTGTCAGAGTGGGGAAAGTCTGTCTCACTTTCATGGTTTTTCTGGCCAATATTGAATTTGTGTTAGTGGGTTATAAATACAAGTGGCTGTCTTTGGACAGACAATCGAGCAACCCATTGTCAAGCCAGTAGGTACAAAAAGAAAAGAAGAGGAAGTGAGAAAACGTTTTGCTTTTCTGTGAGCAGGTGTTATGGATACAAAGATTCTTTTCCTTTTGTGGGAGAAAAGGTTTAGACAGAACTTAAAAACCAATAACCACTGTAAATTCAATTTAGAATCTCATATTATTTTATCTTGATTTTGTTGACAGATGTCTGTTGTGGTCTTCCAAATATTTGGTGTTAATGGTGAAATTGATATCAGAGGCGAAGACACAGAAATATGCCTACAGGTCAACCGAGTGATACCAAATCAGTTGGGAAATATCAGTGTTCGGCATTATCTTTGCAACAGAACTGTTGGTAAGAAATAACAATGAGATCTCAATGTTGTGAGGGGTTGGAAACATTTATTCTAAGTAAATAAAGACACTGTATTAGCCTTAAAGCACAAAAGAAATTTTATTTTAGTACAATAGCATCCCTTTTATGCTGGTTTAGGATATCTACTCTGATTTCTTTCCTAATTGCCATATGTTAAAAGGGAAAGAAGCAAAAATGGAACAATTTCTGATAGTAGGGGTGAAAAAATACATTGCATTGAATTCTGATCATTAGTTTGCTTTTTAAAAATCAAATAAGTTGCGTTAACATTAAGTTATTGTTTTATAAAGATGGAACTCTGTTACTGCTCTAACGATACTTTGCTTGAATATACCTTTGTTTGAAGGGCTGTTTCTTTTTTTTTTGAAGATCTATTTGTCTAGATTAAATTAACACTCATGGTTTAAACAGATTTATGATCTGTGGTTTAAGAAAATTTAAAAACTGACTGTGTCAGCAAAGATGAGGTGCAAGGACAGTCTTCTTCCTTACCTTTTTTTTTTTTAAAACTTGGTAGGAACATGGGGTGTAGTTTCATGCCAGATATTTGCACAACTAGATCAACCAGTGTATTGTCAGAGCTGTTCTTGGGCATGAGTATGTATACATTCTCTGCCAGAAAACCTAGTTCTCATACTGTGAGGTTTCTTTCCTTGGCATGATGTATTGGCATGCCACTTCATGTCACAGTTGGCTTTGCTTCCCTCTGCCAGCCTTCCGCATGGATTGCTGGATGCCAGCTTTGTTGTGCTGTAGGGATTTTGGGGCAGATCCCTGATGCACCTGCTTCCTGCTTCTGGTTCATCACCTTTCCCAGGAAACAGCTATAGCAGCTGTTGGCTGCCATTTATTTCCAGCCTTCCAGCGGCATGGATTTTCTTCAGGGAGGTGTGCTTGGTGGTACAGCCTCTGATGTCCTAGCTAAAGAACCCATTTACTGGTAAGCTGAGCAGTTGCCAGCGGCTGCTGCCTGAGCAGCTGTTGCACGATGTTGCAGTTACATTCAGGCATCTGAAGGCAAGAGGGAGGGCCAGCAGGGAAGACTCATGGCTGACCTTCAGTTCATACAGCAAGCAAACTGAGGTCTGATTATCTGTCATATCCTCTGTAAAAGCAAGAGGGAGTAAATAGTAAGAACATGCCACCTCCCTGCTCTCACATGGATCTAAAACTATAACCTGCTTCCTCTGGTTTAGCTGATTGAGATGCTTGTGCACTGGCTGATTATTTTATGGGCAAAAGGTTATAATGTGATTGGAATCTCCAAATACTTCGTATCTCTCTCTCTGGGTGTCTGGGTGGGTGGGCCAACAACACTTTTTTTCGTACCTCACTGATCGCTCCCATTCTGTAATGTACATCTTTTCTTCTCTCCACTGATCTTGCCTTTTCTCCACTGTAGGGCTGTGCTTTCTGTACTGAGTCGGGAATCTTCTGCAGCCACTGCTGCTCCCCATCTCCCACATTTATTCTATTAGAAGAACTATGGGAGAAAACAGTTAAAAAAAAAAAAAAAAAAAAAAAAGGTATTCCAGAGGATCAAGGTTGGGGAAAAGCTTGAGAATTAGATCAAAAGAAACAATTTAAATGAGTTAACGGTAACAAAGTAGAACTAAAAGAACCAGTGAGCAAAAGCATAAGAAAATACCCCATAAAAGCAATTCCCCCCAAGACCTTTAAAAAACCCACTTACTCACTCAAGTGCTGAATTAACAGTTGTAACCAGTAAACTGAGGAACCATGCAAAGCAATGAATAATCATCGTAATAACAGTCTACAAAATTGTTCTCAGTAAAAATAACTATTTAAAACCTACTGTACTGTTAATGCAGTAGGTGTAGAAAGGCAAAAATATGCCTAGTAGTTGGAATAAGTTTGAGGGCGATGGGGCAACTGTACACTTCCCTGCAGGTCTGCAGGATGATGCCTTTATCAGGTCTTGTCTGGCAGCAATAACAAAGAAGGAGGGATGGAGTATAGCAGAGGTACTCTGGGAGCAACAGTGCTTTTACTGAGAACTTGTTGTGTTTGGAGGAGAAGGGAACAGCAGTAGGTAGCAGCTTCTGAATTGTTTAATGCTATTTTTTCTTCATCCTCTCTTGACTGTGCCCCTTTCAGATACCTGTGAGATAACCAAGATTGACTTCATGGCTGAGACTGAATGTGTGGTCTTTTCTTCTGCTGTTTTTCTACACTTGGTGGATTCTTCTGGCAATGATGCAGGCACTCTTTTCTGGTCTGGAAGTACTTAGGGCACATGCGACTTACTTCTTTCTCTGTATTTGTGGAATATATATCTTGAGGGAGATAAAGTTTCCCAAATCAATTGCAGAGACTCATTGGGCAGAGTGGTCATTGTTCTCCCATCTGGAGCGTTGCCCTTCCTCTTAAGGACTGTTGGGAGCTAATTCTCTTTTGTCTGGGCTAGAGCTGCAAACGGTACTTGATATGTCTAGTGTGCTTTTTTTGTTCGGTTGGTTTTCGTTCTGGTTTGGTTTGGGTTTTTTTTGAGAGGGAAATGTGAGATCTAGAGCTTCTTAAACATTGGAAGGATTGAAGGATCGAGTCATGGCTGTTAGTGTTGTGGAAACCTC